TTGGACTGTTGTGCCAGAAAGCAAAAAAGTTTTATAATATTAATGGGTCATGTCAAAAGGATACAGAATTCACTTGAGGTAGCTAAGGCAGACCACCATTTTGACAAAACAGGAATCAGAGGAGGGAAAGTTTGTGTACTAAAACATCCTAAACAAAGCAAAACAGAAGACCAGAAAAATGCACTTGTAACCAATTTAGGTGTCAGGTCTGGAATATAGGTGAGGATATGGAAGTGAGCTTTGGGAAAACTTGTGTGAGGAAGCAAGAATAAATTTAGAGACTTGAAGATCAAGTCAAAGGTACACAGAAATCACCATAAGGAATTATCCAATATTCATACAACATCAAATATCAAAGACTGTGGTGGGCTAAAGTACACTGAACCAATGAAGATCAATAAATCCATAATGAGACATAAATAGAAGGTCAGAAAATTTCAAGTGCATTATTTGAGGTGGCTAATTTGGTACAATAATATAAAGGACATAAACAGCCTTCCTGACTTTCCCATTAGAATTACTTTTTAAGTTTACTAAAGAGCATGAGGACAACTAATAAATGTAAAGGGAATGAGAAATACAGAAGCACATTGATTCAGATGAGGATTTCCAATTATAAAAAGCGTTAGGTGNTATTACACATCTTGACTTCCATGAGAGCAGGGCCTATAATCTACTGACCATTGTACTGATACAGCTAGTGCAATATTTGTCTCAGTGTAGACACTGAATAAATACTGAGTATATGAATGACCATATTTTGTTGTTAGTAGAAACATATATATATCTAAATACAAGAGGAACTGGGAAAGAGTTGCTTGCACTGACGAAGATCTTAATTTGCTTCCCCAAGTGTCAGGCTTTTTTTTTTTTTAACCACACGCCTTTGAAGATAATTTCCCAAAACATCACAGGGACTCACCTCTCCTGGACTAGCTAGACTTTTTATATTGGCAATGGCTTTCCCTGCCTCATCAACCCTCATTCATCTGGCCCTGTCTTTTTGTCACATCCCTCCAAACCCTCTAGAGCAACTTCCCTTCCTCCGATAAGGTCATTACAACTGGCTTAGAGATGGAATAGCCTGCTTACAACAAAGAAATGTAATATAATGTGTTGAAAAAAAACAAAAAAGAATTATGACCAATTCTAAAAATACACTTTTGAGAACTGGTTAAAGTTTCAATAAATGAAGTCAAAATGATATTAATCAAGACTTCAGAGAAGAAAAATATGAGGGGATTGGAAGAACATTAGAGAAACCAAAGAACTATAAAACATAAAGAGACAAGACAAATAAAAAAATGTCTTATGTTATTTAAACCCAGCCAATTGGTTGTCTTGAGAGGCTATATAACATAAGAGTTAAGAACACTGTCTTTGGTGCACAACTGCCTAGGTAAAAACCTGCATCTGACCCTAAGTGGCTACGTAGCCTTAGAAAAGTACCTCTTTGTCTTAAGAAATCTCTTTAGTAAAATGATACAAGTAGTACTTATGCAATAGGCTTATTTTAAGAATTAAATGAGTTAGTTATTTAAAGTGAATAGGACAAGGCCAAGTACAAGGCAAGAACTATGTAGGCTGAGAGGAAGATAAGTAGCTTTCTGAGGCATTGATAGGTCCTTGTTAGAATACTAATTTAATGTTAAATGCAAAGTTCTTTAACCACAAATTAGGTATAAGATTTGTGGCAGGAAATAAATATGAATTCTATTTATCAATCCAGCAACATATAAATTGTACAGATTCTTTTAATAATCATAACAAATCATGCATGACACAGTATCTTAGCTGTTCTACCAGAGGGTTGATAAGAAAATAATGAAAGCATTTATAATAATTCTGAGTTCAAACACAATATCTCAGTGATATGCTGTATGTGTCCTGCAAGTCAAATCTAGCTTCCTGGTATTAAGAAAGATAGAAATTATATGAAAGGCCTCAGAAGGTATGAACATCATGAAGAATGCTGAAGATGCATAATAGAGGTGTCATCTGCAACACAACAACACTGAAAACCATGCCTTTGGAAATGGAGAAAAAATTCACCTAGTTTCTTAAAAAATAGCCTTGAGTTCACTGAATATCAGCTGGTATTCTAGAGAGCATATTCCAAATCATTTGAGTCAGATAAATTTACCCAGTGAGACCAAGTTGCTGTAGTTCTCCATCATCACATCCCAGTACAAGTCCCTCTGAGCAGCATCCAGACATTCCCACTCCTCCTGAGAGAAGTTGATGACCACATCCCTGAATGTCACCAATTCCTGAAACAACAAACTCATATAGTACAGGTAAAATTGAAGGGAATATTTTTGAGAAAAAACAAGAAATAAAGAATTGTATTATAGGAGGAGGTCTGGATATTTACAAAGTAGACAAGAAGTAGAAGCCTACAGCATGGAAAGTAAGGAAATTAGTGCTTCCAAACTAGACTATCTACATGTCTTTAAAGAATCCATTTGATTCAGAGAAATCTTCCTGCATTCTCTGGGATTTATTAACTAGCCAAATATATCTGGAAGTTAATAATCAGCTTACAAATCAAAAGAAATAGTATATACATGCACACTGCATGTCATGTGCCTGCCTCATGAATTATCAAAAAAGAAAATTTCTATACTCTCATTTCCCTATAGGAAAAATATCTAACTTAGAAAATGGGGTATGAACAAAATTAAAATTTTTCTTGCAGCCCTAAGTACATTATTATGCTACATATTATTATTTCACATTATATTTAGGAATAATTACTTCTAAAGACAAATTATTTAGTAAATGCTTTTTAGCAGCTACAAGGTAGTCTACTTATTGAATATGTATCACCCTTAACTATACTTGGACATTTAGGTTAGACAAGATCTCCTTCAATTCTGGGAGTCTACAATCATCATCATTTGTATGACTTAAGGTCAGTCAACATCAAATTCAATCAACCTGGAAACACAGGTACATGGAGAAGTTCAGAGTTTGCCCAGGTGTCATCAAACACATCCATCTGCTCTTTTTCTCCATCCAAAAGTATGACAAGGGAAAACCTAAGGATTCTATTTATATTCTATATCTGCTCTGGACAAAAGACTGAACACATAGGAGTGTTGAACATTATTTGGAGAACAGACAGGTACACAGGAGGACACCGTGCTGTTCAATACCAGCCCTTACTAGAAATTGAAAAAGTGTGGGGATATGGTACAGGCTGTTTATTGGAGCTGTTTGGTAGGAGAATTCAGAAAAAGGAAATATTCACAAAAAAAGAGAGAAATAGCAACTTACATGGTCCGTGGTTAGAACTGTTAAGAATTGGTCAGGGAATTCCACTTCTGGCACGACAGCACAAGGAGCTCCATGGACACACTCCCCAGTGAGACTGGTAAGGATTATTAAAAACACACAAACAACCATTTAAACACTCTGAAAATAGCTCTAGGAACATATAGCAAATGAAATATTTGTTCAAGAAAACCTACAAAAACTTCTTAAGAACTGTAAGAGTATATACTATATGAACCAAACTTGCGCCCTCCCTTGTCCTTTCCATCTGAGTGGGAAACAGTCTCCACTCCTGACTGGTACATCTAAGGACACAGGGCTTCCTCAACACCCCTCAACTCTTACTTCCAGCCAGATGGCTGTCTTCCTAGGAGGCATAAGACATTATCACTTCCCATCATACCTCAGCTACCTGTTGTACAGCTGAGGGATAGGGGTTCCCTTCTTTTGCCCAGCCCCTACACATTAAATGTATGCTTTACCCTGGGTGCGGCACTGCTGAGAATAATGTTGTTCCAATTGTTTTGCCTTAGCACATGGGGCAAGAGTTCCATGTCAAGACAGGCAACCAAGGAAACGTGGGGTTGCTTCCCCCCCGCCACCCCTCTACCAAGCACTCAGCTTCTAAAGTGGGAGAATCAGTCAGAGAGATGCATGCCATTTTCCCTACACCTAGCACTAGAGATGTGGCTCAGAGATCTTCTCCAAGAGGAGAGATTTTGTCCAGTGCATAGAACAAGACCTCTGTATGCCTACCCAGAGGAACTGATTTCACTTCAGAATGTGGAGAAGTGGAGAACGGAATGTGGAGACGGTTAAACTTCAACAACAGTGAAAGTTTTGATGAAAGGCAATTGGAAGAAGGTTGACAGATTAACTGGAGATATAAGCAATACTACAGGCTACCTAGTTTGCCAGAGATAAACAAAGAGACACTTTGGAAAAGATCTGTTGTCAGGACAAATCTCAAACACCAATCTCAGGAAGTATCACTTCAATAAAAACCCAACTTGATTGCATTAGTCTGTGAAGCAAATTTCCTGTCCTTTACAAGATCAATATTTGAAACTGCAAGGCTTTGGAAAATCAGGCTCTGTGAAGTACATTTGCTTTATGAATACTCCACAAGCTATTAAAAAGAAACTCTTGCCACTTATGACGACATGGATAAACTGGCATCATGTTAAATAAAATAAGCCAGGAAGAGAAATACATACTCTATAGTATTATTTATATGTGGAATTTTTTTTAAAAATCAAGCTGATAGGAACAGAGAATAGAATGGTGGTTGCCAGGGACTTGGGAGTGGGGAAAATGGGGAGATGTTGGCCTAAAGGGAAAATTTTCAGTTATAAGATGAATAAGTTCTGAAGATCTAATGTACAGCACGGTGAGTATAGTTAATTATGTTGTATTGAATACTTGAAATTTGCTAAGAGAGTTCATCTTAAGCATTCTTACCCCCACCAAAACGTAACTATATGAGGTGATGGATATATTAATTAACTTAATTGTGGTAAGCATTTTACAATGTATCCATATATCAAATCATCACATTGTACATTTTAAATATATACAACTTCATATGACAATTACACCTCATAAAACTGGGGGTGGGAAGGAATCCTACATATGGCAAAGCTATATTTAAAAATGAAGATGAAATTAAAACATCCCAGATAAACAAAAACTGAGAGAATTTATTGTGAGTAGACTGGCATATTAGTCCATTTCTGTTGCTTATAACAAAATACTTGAAAATGGGTGATTTATAAAAAAAGAAATTTATTGCTTATAGTTTTGGAGGCTGGGAAGTCCAAAGTCCAGGGAACACATCTGGTGAGGGCTTTCTTCAACGGTGGCTTTACAGCAATGCAGGAGTCTCACATGGCAGAAAATGGCATAGCAAAGAGAGACTAACCTCTCATGTGCTCTTCTTTTAAAGCCCTCAAAACCACGCTCCTGACCACCATTATTAATCCATTCACTACCTCATGGTCCTACTATCTGATCACCTCTTCAAGGTCCTACCCTTCAATTACTGTAATAGGATTTCCCACCCTCAACAGTTACAATGGGGATTAAGTTTTTTTTGGGGGGGATATTCAACCCAAGGAAACTGGCCTTATAGAAATACTCAAGGAAGCTCTTTAAGCTGAAAGTAAGTGATCCCAGGCAGTAATATGACAAATCCACACGAAAAACAAAGAGAACCAGTAAAAGCAATTACGTAATCATAAAAGACAGTATACATGCATATCTCTTCTCCTCTTAATTGATTTGAAAATTGATTTTATAAAACATCATGTACATAATGTATTATTGGACCTATAACATAGAGAAATGTAATACATTTGCCAATGATAACACAAAGGCGATAGGCAGAAGCAAAACTGTATTGGGCTAAGGAAATGAATCCAGATTGTAACCCAAATCCAGCCGGTCCCCGGTCCGGTACGGGGGCAACACTGAGGGTTGTGATCCGTTGCCGGACACGGAAACAGACAAAAGACAAAAAAAAAAAACAAAAACATCATGTACATAATGTATTATTGGACCTATAACATAGAGAAATGTAATACATTTGC